GATTTGGTTAGTTAAAGTCAGATTTTAACTTCGAAGCCTGTGAGTGTGTCTGTCTCTGTATATGTGTGTGCCTGTTTGTGTTCGCTTATTCACGAAACCCGCATTGATGGCTCAAGGTAATTAGGACAGCAAAAAGTAACGTCAGTTTTCTGCCATCAAGGTTTGATGAACCCTATCTCACCCTTTCTACATACATGTTATAACTGCGAGGTCAGGCACTCGTCTGGTTTTGTTGACGAGCCTTATTGTTTTTTGTCTTTATGCGAGAAAGAAAGAATGAGCTAAAAGTACAGAGAAGTGACTATGATTAGAACTAAGATAAGAAAAGTTTAGTTGAGTCGCCTCCTTGTTACAAGAGGCTCTGTTTCTCTCTCACGTTGAGACCAAAAACAAAAATAAAGGCTCATTAATACAACCCGACGAGTGTACGACCTTGCGCAATCGAAGTGATAGTTATAACATGTATGTAGAAAGGGGGAGATATGGGGTAATCAAACCTTGATGGCCAAAAACAAACGTTCCTTTTTGTTGTCCTAATTACTTTGAGCCATGACTGCGGGTTTCGTGCATAAACGAACACAAACAGGCACATATAAATACAGAGAGAGACATCTGACCTTAACTAACCAAATCACTTTATACTTGATCAAAGAGGTTAGATGTAGAGTATATATACCAATTTTAGGGATTTGCCGATGAGTTTTCTTGACTCGTTATCTTGAATTTTGTTGTGGCGATGATACCTTGGTCTGATGATCTTCGTCATATGACGGACGAAAGCTTAGCACCTTTTCACCGGAATCGAAGGAGATTCCCTTGGAAACTGCGTCAGCATGAATCTTCCAATAAAGCCAATCGACAGCTGGTCAAGAGGAATTTGCTGTCGTCTTCTTGTGGAACCGATCTCAGAATCTCTTCACCCAACACTTTCACTCGAAATGGAAGTAAGCTCAACAATTAAGCTTTACGTGACTATTTCCTTTATTCATAATTGGATATGTGCTAATTAGGACAAAACAGAGGAAATACCTCACTTATGTGGGTCATCTTGTCTATCTTTTCATCACAAGATCCAATCGACCAGCCTTATTATCGAAATTTTTTTCCCATTGTTTATTAAGTAATGACTATATCATAAGGAGTACTTTTTTATAAAGGAATCTATTCTCATTCTAAAAATAAGTTATCTTCATCTAGTTTAGATGACTTATCCACTGTTGGAGGCCATGACCGAAGTACTTTGGTCAGTATGCTAAAACTGCCTTTTAACCTCTTTTAAGGCGCCTGGACAAGAATACAAGCGTAAAAATCTAATGAGGAATGCCGATGGATGCCAGTTTGCCAGTGCTAGATGACATAGAATGGCAAACCGGTATTTTCCGGTTTGTTTATTTTATTAATTTTGACATGCCAATAAAAACCTTATAAAATTTGTCTGACCTTGTCTGACCTCAATCTCGCCAAACCTACCATGTCCAGCGTCCTCCGCCATAGTAGTTATGGTGATTTCCAACCTCGAAGCATGGACTTGGTACACTCCCAGACGCTTCACTTGCATATTGCCGGGCATCTTCAATGAGCTATTTTACGCATCAAGCTACATATCGTCAAAGGATGACAAGGCTCACTGGCTATGCCTGAGGAATTTCTGGAAATGCACCATAGCCACGTTCTGACGCATGAAATTATCATGACTACTATGGTAAAGAGAGACCTTCATTTCGTATGAAAGTGCATGAAGAAGAGATTTGTTGGTCGATCTCACCAGATGAGGACGGA